GGAAGAGGGGGGAATGCATGCCTCTTCTGAGGGCGGTGGGGTGGAGAATAAGCAAAATTAGTCGCTGTTGGCTTGGTGGACTTGGCGCAGCATGCAGCACCTCAAAGAGTGAAAGACCGTGTGGGCATGAACTAGAAGAGAAGAGGGGTGACCCGGTGGAAGAGGTGACAGTGTTTGGTCGGTGCTACCTGGCAAGTAACGCAGGGAGTGGTCCCCACAAATTCCTAGTCCAGGCAGTGCGGGACTGAGGGAGTCCCTCAGCATCAGGGGAGCCTTTTGCTGAAGCCTGGCTGCAGGTGTACCCTCAAAGTCTTCTTTTTCATGTTGTCCCTCTTTCTGCCAAAGTGTCATGTCCTGCCGTCGTCAACAACTGCTTTGTTGTTTTGGACAACTTAATGTTGCAAAGGCCATTTTTTGCCAGCTCTCTCTCCTTTCTTGGCCTGTCACAAGTGTCCGTCAGACCCTCTTGCTATTTCCTTAGTAATTTTTTTAGCAACTATTTAGAAAGCTTTCTGCTTGTGTGGCAAGCAGCCCATCTGTCAGTTGTTACTTCTCTTGTGTATGTGTGCAAAGGGAGATATGTACCTGTTCTCTGTGAGCTCCTTTGTTTCAGGAAAAAAAGGTTTGTGGTTTTTTGAGGGGTGGAGTGGGAAGGAGCAGGAAGATGAACCTTTATGCTGCTTGTGCATGGTTATTGGGAAGCTTGGCACTTGCCTGTCTAATAACCTCCTTTGCTCTGGCCTCCTGGACTTAAGAGTTCTCTTGATCTATGAAACATGCACAGGAAAAGTTTTAAACAAAAGGGAAATTAAAGGTAGGCAGTTGGACCAAAAGACTGAATGCTGAGTTTAGTAAGAAAAGCTAGGTGCTCGTCTCTTTTGAAAATCAGTTTCCTACCTTAGATTAGAAACCTGCTACAGAAGTTGTAGCCTTAACATACACCTAACGGCTTTTTTTGTAAGCCTGTCTTCAAGTTTTGTTCTGATGGTCTGTTCACTCTCCTGACCTCCAAAGTATTCTACAGAGGAGAATGCATTGATTCAAAAACTAGTTTAAATTCTAATTTGGTCTTCACATTTCCACTGATATTACATAAATGCTAAGCCTACATTTTTAGTTATAACTGCTTCCTGCAGCAAGGGCTGAAGGAACTGTTCCAGTGCAACTTACAGCTAAGTTTATAATGACGTGAAACAAGATCGTCATGCTGCGTAGAACCATGTCTTTATGTAACACCTCAAATGCTATTGTATAGCCTGTAAAGTGCAAAAAACAAATAATGGCTTTGCTGTACTTGTAGGCTTTTTGCAAATTGATACATTTTGAAGACAATAGCTTGAAATTATTTTTTCTTCATCTCATTTTGCTGTAACTTGCTGATTTCTTTGAAAAGAAAAATTTTTTTATTTCTTGGTTTTCTTCCAGGACAGATCTTAGGATATGATTTACATTACAAATATGTTCCTAATAGGTGTCTTTTTTGATCCCTGAATGTGGCATACTACCTGAAGTGCTGAAAAGTACTATTGCGGATGTTGGAGAGTACTACGTGGTGAGGAATTTATCAATTCATGAACTGGTCTCTCACGAATTCATTGATGCTTTTGTGAAGAAAGGTAAGGAGGTAATCAGAACATGACATGCAGTAATAGTGTGTATTTTTCATAACACAGTAAAATCCATTTATTATTATTTATTCTGAAAAGTATTTTAAAGGAAGGGAAGAAAAAATAAATTCTGTATTAATTTCTTTATCTGCTTCTTTTTCTGCTTTGTGGTGTATCAACATTTGTTTACATCCAGTGGGTCCAAAACTTGTATGACTGTTACCTCTTCATTTCTCCCCTATTCCATCGTAATTCTGCAAGCCAGCTGTCAAGAGGGCTTCCGTGTATCCTCACACCTGTTTATCTACTACATCTCATCTTTATGCAGATTCCTGCAGAAATCAGTTCCCTTCTCCCTTTCTGATTCCTTCATATTTCAACACAGAGCTGTGTTAGCTGTATTCTGCAGCAAGCAAGAGAAAAAGAGGAAAAAATCTGCTGGGGAGGGGGGAAGGGAGGGAGAGGTTGGCTACTGGACCTGTGAGGCTCATCCTTACACAGTAAGAGCAAAGAGGATGTGAAGATGCGGCCTCTGCCCAGCCAACTTGGTATTACATAGTCGGAGCATGCTGTTTTCATCAAGCAGGGTCTGCTCATTCGGCTCATGATAAATGTTGTACCCTTCAGATGACTGTTGGGAAGAAAAAAAGCTTTAAAGGGAAAAGAGAGGAGGAAAGAGAACCTGTGGGTGAAGTGGAAGAATGAGATTCATTACCTTTTAAATGTGGGATTCTTTCCTTTAGTCTCATCAATGGCTTTTATGCCAGTAGTTTTCTGGAAGAGGTACGATGTTTGTACACCAAGTTTACAGGATCCGACTCTGGCATTTTTAAGAACAAAATTGGTTGTGGCAGATAATGCTACAAAATATATTTAGTAATATAAGCATCTTCCACCTTGTCTTCATGTGAACTAGTAATAGAAATTTATCTGGAAAAAGATGGGGTTTTCCATTTGCTGAGTGAGGAAGGTCGCAGGTGGAAAGGAAGTGTTTTCATATTGGGGTATATTGTTAGTGTTATCTGTATTACAGGTCCCTTAAAATAGTGCCAGTCCAAGGTTTATAAAAATCGTAACAAAATGGTATTTTTGCTTGAGAAGGTAGAAAAAAAATAGTTGATGAAAACAGAAGGGTTTAGAGTGATTCAAATGGTATTTGGCATGTTTGATTATCTTGAGGTTAATCTTTCATATTGTCATGTCTGTCTTTAGAGACTGTGTAATCTCATGGTTTTCTGCTTTACTATTAAAGGTTCATGCTACGCACTTACCTATAACACAAAAATCGATCAAGATAATACTGCAGCTCTGCTACCAAATGGTATGTTTTGTTTTGGTTTTAGTAATACGTACATATTGATTATGGCCCCTTTTTTTTATTTGGAATGATGTAAACTGGAAAATTTAATGCTTACTGGATTTGTTAACTTTATTAGAAATATGTTTGAATCAGAAAAATATTCATTTTAACTTATTTTTTTTCATTCATGCTGTTAAATTACTTCATCTAAAGGAAATTAAAAAAAAAAATCAGCTTCACTTATGTATAGTATCAGATTGTCAATGCTTCAACCATAATTGCAATTGCTACAGAGGATTATTTTTGTGAAAACATTGCATTACAACTTATTGTTTCCTACTGGTCTTAAAGACACAATTTGTACCAAAAAATAAAATTATCAGCACTGCTTAGGAACACTTTTTAAATATTCAGTGTTTATTCTTTGAGAATTATGTGACATGTTAAAATACTCTGTTGCAGTTCTGTCACAGTTTTATGACAAAATGTTCCATCTCAGGTAGGATTTTTCGTGCAGAGAAAATAATGAAGCTATTTTGGGCTTCAAATATGTCATCGTATTTCCGTTTAACAATATATCAGATATCACAGAAACTCAAATTGGTCTATCAGCCCTCTAGCCTAAGGTGCTATAATATGACAGGTGCCCGTCAGGGCATAATAAATTCAGATTCTTCAGAGGAGGAATTATTTTATGTGCTCTGTTAGCACAGTCCTAGCAAAATGGATGCTTGATAGTGATTGAGTTTATATGATACAGTTATTACAGGCTATGCACAATTAATGCAGAGACAGCATTACAGTTCCTGGTGATGTCACTATCTGAAATCTTCAGCAGCAACCTTATTTGTTTGTATTCTATATTGTACTGTTACTTGTACAGTAGAATCAAAAGACCGTAGTAGAGATCTGTTGTGTGAAATTCTGTACCAAGTGGCAGCTGCCAGATTTGGTTTATGAACGTGGAAATGGAGTTGTTCCAGTGCATATCTGCTCATCACGAATAAGCATAGTTTACTCAATGTGAGTAGTCCCACTGGAGCTGGAGGAACTGAGTTGAGCATGCATGCATAAGTCAGGCCCTAGTGTTATGTGGTATTCAACCAATGACACAGCAAGCGGAGGAAAGATTGAGGCAATGAAGTGAGGTAGTAAAGTAAAAAAGACTCTCAGGAATAATATTACACTTTGCTTATTCTAGTTCATAAGACCTCTGATAAAAAAGACTAATTGAGTTATATATGTATTTTTTTTAAGGGTTAATCTGGTAATCCATTTAACTGGACCTAAGGAGTCTGGATTATATTGGCAATACCATTGGCAATACCATTGATCCAAAGCTAACGTTGTATAAGGTATACAGTTCTCAGAAGACTTCAAAGGGAACTAAGTAGAAGATTATTTGTACTAAAGTTTGTTTTGTTTATAGGAAAACTAATTCTGTCGGTGGATAAAGATACTTATGAGGAGCTTGGACTGCAAGGTCGCCCTTCTCGGTATGCTGGCAAAAAAGTAATGAGATACAGTAAGTATTATTTATATTAACAGTGCTTATTTCAGATCTGTCTGTGAAGCACCTTGTTAGGATGTTAAACCAGCTATGCTGAAACTTCACTTTCCTTAAAATTGGTTATTGTCTAGGTCATATTTTTCCAGAGGCAGATACAAGGACTGCATGAAGAGAAAAAATACTTTTTCCAAATAATAAAGCAGTCATAAGGAAGCAAATCTGTGATCTTTTGGGTATTCTATAAAATTTTCAATTTCTGGGCTTTTCATTGTGGTGTTTATACTGGAGTGATGTAGGACTCAAGAATTTTTGTATACTATGCACAGTATCTGTGCCTTCTGATTTAAATCAGCAAATACTAAACTAATTAAGGTAGAGCTTAAAATTTTCACACTATTAAAAAAAAAAAAAAGCAGTGAAGAGCCTCACCCAAGACTGCTTGCTTGAAAGGGAGAATTGTATTACATTTGACACATCTAAATGTGTCTTGGAAAATGTACTTGGAAAATGTTGTAATTTTTTAACAGCTGCAGAGGAGACGTACTGAGTGTGATTTTTGTTGATTTTTTTTTTTAAAAAATTTAAAAAAAAACATGAACACTATCCCATCTCAAATGTATTGGAACCTGCAGTAGTTGATAGGGAGTTACGTAACAAGTTTCCCCTTCTAAAGTTTTTATCTATAATAAGAATTTTGGCAAAATGGGACATCATTTTACTCTTCAGTTTGCCAAGTAAAATGTATGATGAAATTTCTGTCTGAAAAATAAATGTAACTTTTAGCCTGGGATCAATTCATCTAGGAAAAAAAACAGTTGAAAAAGTGTCATTGCCATATACGTGTCTTTTGATGTTAGAAACTAGCTTTTTTTAGGGCTAATAGCTTGCCTAAGTACCAAGGTATTTTTAAGATGCTGTTTTGGGAGTTTGGTCACTGCCATTACAAAAAGAATCTGTCCCTCCAGCCACTAGAAGGTAGTTCCAGATTATAGCAAAATAAGGACAGCAGGAGGTGAATACTTATTTACGTAATGGGGACTTATATTTGAATAATCAAATACTTTATAAAGATGCTGTGTATGTGAAAAGGAAGTGTAATGTTCTTTGGTTTCTTTGCGTTCTTTTAGTTCTTAATTAATTTAATATTAAAATTTATTTCAATTGAGTAACTATTGCTTTTGTACATTTTTGCAGTTGTTACTATTGACTTGACTGATTCTGGCTTTCACCCTGATAGTAAGAAATATAAGAGAGTGCTTTGGGCCTTGAAAGAAAAGAAGCCTTTAGAGTTTGACTTCCTACTGGCTTGGTATAATACAGGTAATAAAAACTAAATGTAACTGATGTGAAGTCCAAATATTTTTCGTTTACTGTTCTTTTCTAGTGATTGTCCAAATGCATTATTTTTAGTGGGGGGAGAAGTTAGATTAACATGTGTTTGGGTGGGATTTTTTGTTTGTTCTGTTTATTTGTTGGGGGCAGGGGGGAGTGTTACTTCCTACACAACAGAACATTTCAGTTGAGGAACACAACAGCGATTCATGGGAGATATATTAGTTGCTTCATTTCCTTGTCTCTCTGTTGCGCAGGCTTTCTGGCATAACTTTGCCTATTCAATAGCACCGCCTCTTCTTTATAAATCTGTGACTCACATAACCATTATTAATACACTTCTTTGTTTTTTTATTAGTACACATAAATTACATATTTGGTGTAGTACTTGAGATGGGGAACTTTTCGTTTCATCAGTAGTTATAGGACATGTACAGAGTCCCTATTTCTATCATGTGCTATGTACTCTGATACACATGTGGTCTGCTATTTTATCATTTTATTCTCAAGCACTTGCTTGAGATTGGAGCAGAGTGAGAGGTGGTTGTTATAAGGAATTGTATTGTCTCACTGCGGGGGGGTTGGGCTAGATGATCGCTCAAGGTCCCTTCCAACCCATAGCATTCTATGATTCTATTCTTCTAGAATTTGTTTACCTACTGTTTTCTGATTACACTAATTTTTTTTTCTGGTATTTAAGTATTCTTCCTCTGAGGGTCATTTTCCAAAGTCCTCAGTTGCTTGTATTACCTCAGAACAGGCTGTATCTAGGGATACGTAGCATCTGCATAGAATTGACAGATGCTGCAGGAGTCTGTACTGCAAAAAAAAGTTTTTCTTCATCATAGCCGTGTAGCTTTTAGCATGGTTCTGCTTTGAGTCATGAAGAAGCGTCCACACTAGTGAGAAGGGATGTTAGAGAGGTCCCTGAGGGTGCTTTCCCATCTGCCTTTTACATTGTTACTCTTGTCTGGCTCTTCAAGTCCGAGAGGGAGTTACAGATCTGAGAAATTAAAGCTGCTTACAAGCTCCTTTAGCAGTGTCCCATGTTTCACTTTAGTCCTTCATGTTTCCCCTCCCCCTTTTTAAGTACTGATCATATGACAAGGAGCCTCCCTTGTTTGTCATACAGAAATTGTTTAAAGGCTTGCAATTGCTGTCCTTGTAGTCTTTGGGAAGGAGTCACAGTGAAGACTGTTGCTACCATAAATGGTGACATAAATCCAACTAAGGTGGCGGATCTTCCGGCTCAGCTTGCTTGGATTTATTGACCCTGGGCAGAGAGCAAAATGCCTCTAGGGCCGGTATGTTTCTTATGTTTGTTGCTGCCAGTGTAGCAGCATTCAGGAAGAATAGCATTCCTTTTCCTCACTTTCTTACATCCAAAAACAGGGTCAGGTCAATCATTTCATGAATATGGAGTTAAATCTGAATGCCTTTCTGTTCAGGAATCTTGTGCTCATAACACATGAAAGACTCTTAGTTCCTTAGTACTGACAAAAATAAAACTTTTACAGATTTTTATTAATAGACATGAGGCATCGTGTAGATTGTGCTGGAAGGGGAGCAGAGGGATGTATTTTGTTGAGAGCATCCGTGTCTTCCATGAATGTTCTGCTTTCAGCCTGCCTGCTGATAACTGGTGTTTCTTGCTATGGCCAGCACTGCTGCAAACCTATATGCATTTGTGTCACTTTCCAAAAGCAGGATTTTTTTTCATACCCATTTTTCCCACTTAGTGGTTCTGGCAGCAAGAGGAACAGAAAAAGGGAATATGGAGTGTCTCATGTCTTTAATGGCAGAGGCAAAACAACCTTTTCTTCTCTTTCCTATTGCTATAATTTCTATGACAATTTTAAATGTTTATTGGCTGAAATTCATTGGCTTCCAGAAAACTTTGACAAAGTGCCTGGTTGTTGTTGACATGGAAAGCTATGCTGTAGCTAGAAGAGTTTTTCTGTTGGAGTCTTGAATGTAGTCTTTGAGATTTCTTGAAGTTAGGCCTATAGCTGAGGCTCCCATATAGAGTAGACATTTAAAATGTATGATTTTTTTTATGTTTGACTAAGAATTCTAGGGCAATATTATACATTCTTTGAACCTGTTAGTCTAACAAATGCCAATAGGAAGTACAGACTGAAGGAAGATCATCTGTTCTAGCACACTTCAGACTTAAATATATCTATATAAAAATACTCAATTAACAAGAATTCAGTGGCTGCCTGTCTCTGTCACTGTGCCCTTGAGTACTTGGACAGCCTTTTTTGAAGGATGACTAAAAAGGGTCAGGTTAGCCCTCCTTTTTCTACTTCCCCATGTGATTGTCCTTGATGAGATAAATACAGCTGATGGAGTTTAGGCAGTCCATAATTTTTGATAGCAAGTCTTGGATATTGCATTCCACAGTGAACTCTGTCCTGTTCTTTAATTTCTTCTGTTTATACATGCCTTTCCTGCAGTATTTAAATGCTATTCTGGACTTCAGGTTTCTCATGAAAGGTATTATTTCTTGGTTGCCTAGAGACCCATTGTTACTTTATGAAAATAGAATACATTATCTGGAATGTCAAATTTAGGAGAATTGATTCCATGTCAATTATCTTACTGCTTCAAAAAGGAAGCTGGTTAATATTTCTTCATTTGCTATGTGCTTGCTTCCGTTAGGTTAGTTTTTTAGTCCGGGTTAGGTTTTTAGAATTTTACCTGCTGTTTTGGATCACTTACCAGAGTTGAAGAAACATGGCCTTTCCCACGCGTCCATCAAGGTACATCTAACTGTTTACAGCCGTACTGACTTACCACTGTTTCGTTTCTTCTCTGATCCTAGTAAAGTGAGATTTGCGATACAGTTTGATTTCTCTACGCTCCCCCCTTCCTTCTCTCTTCAATCCTTGTCCCCTAGACTATCCTAGAATTCCTCTTGACATCATTGATAAATCTCTTTTCAAACCTGTAGTCACTTGCTCACTCTTAGCCAGGTAGGTGGGAGGGTCTCTAGTCTTGATGACTGACTGGTATTTTTCTGGGACAGTATCACCTTCCAAATACACCTTATCTGAAGATGATTTCTCAATTTACTGTAAAGCAAAAATTTTTCTTGAAAACCTTATGGCTCCTAAATTAAGTTTGCCATGACACCTAGGAAATCAAGTATGTGGTCTTTAGTGATGGGATTAGACCTCTCGGAAGGATTCTTACATGTTCTTGTCCTGAGCTGAGAGAGCTAAGAGATCCACTAACCTGACATGCTGGATAGAAGACTGAGTGCCTTTTAGAACAACAAAAAGGGGAACTTTCTGTGGTTGTGGAAGAGTGTTCCAGGAGAATTTAAATGACACTACAGCTTTTTGCAAAGCATTCCTGACATGTGCAGGAATTTATTCCATTGGAGTTGTTCATGATTCTAGAAGCCATACTGTCTCTAGGAGGCAGTTCTTAGTGAAATAGTGATGCTGGGATCCCTCTAGACACTCAGTGGTCTGTACTTGCTAGTTAAGTAGTAAATTTACTGAGCTGTACCAAGTTGCTGGATCTTGCACTAACTTTTATTTCCAAGAAGATAAGGAAGCTGAAGATTCTATGGCTTTTGCCAAAGATAACAGCATGTAAGCAGTTTTACACGCTGCATTTTCTCGTCTACATATACAAAGGTTTCATGTATTCAGGGTTCCTTTTGTTTAGTAGTTTCATAACAGCTCTTTGTGGTGTTGTGTTGTTAAGGTGCAGAGGAATCAACACTGATGTCATACTTTTCAAAAAACCAAATACAGGCCCTGAAGCCAAAAATAACATTCAGCACATTAAGGGACCTTCAGTGTCCAGTGTTACAAAGTAACGAACTACAAGGAAAGCCAGATGAGTCCTGCAGTACAGAGGAACTGTTTGAATGGCTAGGTGCTGTCTTGAGTCAAGTTAGCTTGTAAGTATTTGAATTTGTTTGATCTTTAAATACATTTTAAGTAAGGAAAGCCACAATTTATTTAAATAAGAATTAAGACAGACACATTTCTGTAAGTGGGAGGTCTGTTATGTGCTTAAGTGTGTAAGTCTTGAATAACTTATCTGTGTTTTTAGGGGTACCCATGTGTTCTGGTTTTGGCTGGGATAGAGTCAATTTTCCTTGCAGTCGCTGGTGTGGTGCTGTGTTTTGGATTTGTGCTGAAAACAGTGTTGATAACACAGGGATGTTTTAGCTATTGCTGAGCAGTGCTCACACAGTGTCAAGGCCTTTTCTGCTTCTCACGCTGCCCTGCCAGCGAGCAGGCTAGGGGTGGGCAAGAGGCTGCGAGGGAACACAGCCACGACAGCAGACCCCAGCTGACCAGAGGGATATCCCACGCCATATGGTGGCATGCTCAGCAATAAAAGCTAGGGGAAGGAAGGGCGGGAAACATTTGGAGTTAGAGCGTTTGCCTTCCCAAGTCACACTTCCACATGATGAAGCCGTGCTTTCATGGAGATGGTTAAATGTCTGCCTGCCAATGGGAAGTAGTAAATGAATGCCTTAGTTTGCTTTGCTTTCACGTGCAACTTTTGCTTTACCTAGTAAATTGTCTTTATCTCATCCCATGCGTTTTCTCACTTTTACCCTTCCAATTCTCTCCCCCATCCTGCTAGGGAGGAGTGAGTGAGTGGCTGTGTGGTGTTTAGGTGCCTACCAGGGTTAACCCACAGCACCATGACATCTTGTGTATTAATTGCTTGGCTGTTAGTTGCTTTGGTATTAATTTAGATGGTATACATAGATACTACTTGTTTGATACAAGTTTTGATTACTAGGACTTCCTGTAGACGATTTAAAGTATATTTATTTTAGTTGGTTTTTTGGTTGGTTTTGTTTGTGGTTTTTCTTTCCCCAGAGACAACAAATCGTCTAGCTTCTTATCAACCTATTGCTGTCCTCAGCCCAGCACAATGGTGGAAAAAGCTTTTTTGTGCACAATCACAGGCTTTATAATTCCTGAGAAGATAATTCAGTTGTTGGAGCAGCTGTGGTAAGGGCTGACAGGAGTACATTACTAGAACGCTTGTACTGTAACACTTCTTAATTTTCAAAATCACTTTTAAATACTTTTTTCAGTAGTGCTGTTGGAGGTAAATAGCAAAATATACAAAATGAAGACTTTTTTTAAAATTAGGAAATGAGCTGGAAGCTTAATATCGGTATAAAAAAAGCAATAAACAATTTTGGATACTTCAAATCTGAAAATGCCTGCCCTGTATTCTAGTAATGACTTTGCTTTTTATCTTAATTTTTAAGAAACAGTGGCTCTTGAGCTCCTACATTTTTCAAATTCCCCCTATGAAAATCAGAAGCCCTCAAATATGTCTAATTTAGTATTTTTAACTACTGATGGAAAATATGATTGAAATCCTTTTATGATACCAAAAAGAGTATCACAAGGTACTTCAAGGTTATTAATGCATTACAATAAATTAAGTTATAGTGAGTTTTTTGAATCAAGTGTTGTAACATGAACAGGGTAGCTGTAGTTCTAATTCAATACCAAACTACATGATACTAGCGTATCATGGATCAGTGTGGTATCTGCCTGTATTGTACATTAGTGCTACTGATAGCAAATTCTGGAAGCTCCTTGCTCCATGTGTGAGACAATTCTTGAAGTGCCTGGTGGCTAATGATTGTAGGACTGACTCATGACAATATTGCTTTTGCTGTATCTGGAATATGATCATTACTCTTTGAGCAATTTTCAGATCTCATGCAGAAAGCCTCCCTAGGCTAGGGTTGAAACAGTTTTTTTTCCTTGGCTTTTATTCTCTACTTAAGAGCAGTGGATAATGTCTGGCTTTGATTATTTGTAATGCATTTCCTTTCTGTTGGTAAAAGTATTTGTGTCAAGCATAGCCTGACTGTGTTTCTTCCTCCTATGTCTTTTTTTGCCCTGATAGCAACTGTTGTCAGTAAATGTTCTATTTTCTGAAAGACAATGCATGCTGTAGGAAATTTAGAACAGCTACTTTACAACTTAGAACTTTTTCTAATTGCTGTAACTTGCAGATTTGCTGTGTCTAAAAGCATGGTAGGAATAATCAAGAATCAACCTTATTTCATTTCCTAATGTCTTCTGATAGAATATTTTCTTCTGAATTTATTTATTATGTACTAAAGCAGGTTTTTTTAACTGTTAATCACAAATTTTCACTGAAGTGCCTGTGTTTTTTTTGTGGGGTTTTGGGGGTGGTTTTTTGGTTTTTTACTTATATTGTGTACTTGAACATGCTGTCTTTGCCATTATAATTGATTACCTTTTCTTCTTTCTTGCAGTTGTTATTTTGGTGAACCAAAACTGGCATATTGGCTGACCTTAACTGTGCATGGCTTTGCAGACAGCCCTGTTTCCTGGAGAGAAAGTGAACATGGTTTCCACAAGGGAGGAGAGAACTTGTACAACTTTGTCATTTTTAGAAATCTGGACTACTGGCTTCAGATGGCTGTAGGAACTAACGATGATTGTCCTCCGTAAAGCTGTGTCTACAGAATAAGTTTTCTAATAATTCCATGTTACTGTATAGAAACCTAATATGACAGTTTTTATAAAAGTAATTAGGTAACAAGTTAAGTACTAAGAGGCTGTATATATTTTTTCCATTATTTATAGCCCTTAAAGGATGACCTACAATGGAAGGAATGGATTTTTGTTTCTTCACTGTCATACAGTGCCTTCTGAAAGCCTTCACAATTCTAGCTTTAAGAAAAAAATACGTTTTTGAGAGATTAAGTTCTCAGGAACTGACTGTAGGTGGTTTCCTTTTATCCAGGAGTAATTTTGGAATTTGAAAATTAGTTTTACGGATTGCTAGCTAAAATATTTGGGCGGAAAGCTCATTTTGGGATTTAGTGTTTTCTTTCTTTACATTAAAGGTCCGTAAAACCTTTGAATTCATGTTTAAGACATTTCATCCTACATGCTGGCAAATAAAAAAAACCCGAGATGTGTTCTCCATAATTTGGTGGGGGGAGGAGAAAAAAGGTGAGAAGGAGGTATGTGACAGTGGGAGGAGCACCCATTGAACACAGAAAAAGTAAAGCCTTATTGACCTGCTTTTTGGATTTTGCAGGTCACAGCTGGTTATCAGAAAAAAGTTGATTTTTAACAGTGATGCAAAAGGCTGCTGCTTGCTTTCTTAATTGACCTACACACACACTCACACCCCCCTGCAAATATCTACTTTTAAAAGTAGCTTGTGGTTCTTGCTTACAGGACAACTCATGGAGCTAAGATTTCACTGTCACGTTATTGCAAACACGTTTCTGGGAAGAACAATATGGACATCCCCTGAAAAATGCAGTTGAAGTGAAACAGGTTTTTTAACAATAAGCAGTAATGCTGAGAGCATAGGCAGCTATAAAGAATCCAGGTTAACTTGTGCTGAAATCCATGAAAGGTTGGATGGTGGTTTGGGGGGGAGGGGTGTTATGTAGATTTTTTTTTTTATGGAGTGGGTATATATATCATTAAAGTACCAATGCAGTGCTAAAATGGAAGTTGTTCATTTGATGGAGTGAGAAATTGGTAGTGGAAGTTAGGGCATAGCTGTAGTGAAAACATCAAGATCTCCTGTCAGGGTGAATGGCACAGTAAAGCAGAAAGCCCATGGGAAGCAGTTGAACTTGCTTTTTTTATCTCTTTATTGGTTCTCTTCAGTGAGGAGAATAATCCTGGATGATTTACTGCATGGTATTTGTTGGTCATACACCTCCACTAAACATAACCCCTTTTGCTCAAGTTTTGTTACATGTTTCACAAACACAACTCTGACAAATCAGCAAACAGTTTTCTAAATCATTACGTTGTTTTTCAAAAGTATCCTGCCATGAGATGTTTCTAGTAGGTCACCAGGAGCAGAAGTGCCACCTTGTCATGTGTACAGACATAGACTCACAAACAATGGGCAAGAGTCTGGGAAAGTTCTTGGCTTGACACTTGACTAGTAAATATTTAACATGGCTGGCTCAAGCATTAAGTTTCATTACTATGCATCTGTGCCAATGGCTTCAGTTGTTGACTAAAGTCTGCTTTTGAAAGTGTCTGTTAAGGGATTATGCCATGTGTCAACTTTCACAAAAGAGACTAGTAACCAGAAGTGTCATCCTTTTTCCCCTTGATCAGGTCTCTTGAAAGCTTGGGCTTTTCCTGGAAGTTACACCTGCAGCAGAAGTTCTAATACAAAGTTAAAAATCTTAAATCTTTATGAAAAGTTGGATGAAGTTTGTAGCTGCTCCAGCAAATGTGCTCATCTTTCTGGCAGATTCTAGTAAAACTAACTTTTTCCCCTGCAATGTGTATACACGCACACAAACAAGTGTCCTGAATACTGCTTGGAAGAAAAAAATGACTGCCATGCAGAAGTAAGAATCTTGTATTGGTGGGTTTGTTTCCCTTATTAACTGAGAGAAAGGAGTGAAGTCTTATGCATATGCTTCATAATACTCCCAGCAGGAGCACAGCAGCCATTGGCCTTGGCTCTGAAATGGCAGCAGTAGGACCAGGTGAAATCATTTTTCTAATTGGCACCTGGTTGCAGAGCTGTTTGGGATCATTGATGAAGCAGCTGCTGCAGAAGTGCTGGTGGGTACAGGGTGATAGCCTCACTGAGACGATTCTGGAAGGCAAGCTGAGAAGCAGGTATTTCAGCTCTATCATTCTCCTCAGCATATGAGTATTAAGATTAATCTTTTATGGATATCTAGGGAAATCTCATCTAGATGGGTCAACAGTTCCCTTTGCCTCCTACCTACATTGGTAAAGGACTGTAAATATTTCTGAAAGCTCAGTGTTACAGGCAGAGTCATTTAGCTCTGCTGCCTCCTACAATCCCTGGTTGTCTTCTGGTGGTTGTTTCAAATGGCTTTTCCAGCTAAGGAAGGGATTCAAATCCTGTCTCTGGATTTTGCAACTTATTTGAGTTGGTTTCTGGCTTTTCTTCGTTTTCCATAAACCTATACAAAGTACCATTGAAAACCTTGTGCCATTAACAGTCGCTGCAGTTGGTCTACTCTTAGACTATGTGAGCTGATACGGCATTAACCAGAGCCATGCTTTCCTAGTGAGGTCCGATGGTGCGCCTGCCTCTTGTGAGGTGGGCTGTCCTGTGCTTGCTGGGCTTTGTAGTTGCACAAAAGAGAAACTGGAGGGTGGAATTGACTTCTCTCTTACCACCTGCAAACAACTGTGCCCAGAGGGAAGATTGTCCTGGGATGAGGGACAGCAGTCTGTCCCCTACCATCTGTAAAGACTCTGTCTCCCCAGGATACTCCCAAGCATGGGGGAGACTTGCTGAGAAAAAGACAAGGAAGGTATTGCTCACGTGGTTGGGGAACAGGTTAGGAAGGAAGAGCTGGGACTGGGCCAGGTGGGCAGTAATTCAAGGAGAAATTCGGCAGGGCACATGAGATGGAGATAAAAGTTTTTGCATGAGAATGGAAGATGACTGCTGGTGGTGTTCTTGCCCTTTGTGCCTGCCTGTGAGGGAGGACAGGAAAATCCAAAAGGTTCCCGAGAGCTGCAAAAGCAATGGGGAGCAGCTGTGCACCAGCTGCTTCTGAGATCAAAGGGCTGAGTGCTTACTAAGAAGTTTTGCCTCTGGGGAGTGTTTTATCTACCATGGGGAAGGAGAGCCAAATATCTGAATGTGGAGACAAGCCTGGGGCAAGCTGGTTGCATGAGAAGTAGAGGTTTCTGTTGTCCTGGTATGCAGACAGACAGTGATAAGACACTCCTTGAGAGCTCGGGAACTGATCTGCTTTAACCTCAGCCCTTCTAGTGAGCTGTTCATTCCTGCCTCTCAGCTGGTGAAAGGAAAGGGAATTTTGTTGAGAGGTTACTGGGGGGGTAGCAGAACCAGCTGGGAACGGGCGCAAAGATCATGTGCTTTTCCAGCCACATGTTTGAGTAAGTGGTTATGTGTATTCAGAAATTGGTGGGTGTGGAACAAACAGAGGACAAACTTTCTGGTGACAAAGGGGAGATAAAAGCTGAGGCAGTTGGATAGCGTGTGTTATGCAAAATCACTCTGAATAGAATATGTTTGCCTTTTTGGTTTGCAAATGCTGACTGAGCCAGGAACCTGTCTGGAGAAATAAAAGTATGTGTCCCATAATGGCAAGAACAGGAGTCTAATGGCGATAGTATTTTGTGTGAGGAAGGGAATATTAGCACGGGGGACTCTGAGAAAGTTAGCGATAAGGATGAAAAAAAGAACTGTCACTGTCAGAATAGATTCTAGAGATGCTGTGGCCGCAGAGGGAAAGTAGCAAGATTTGGCTACAGCTTAGATCTGGGGAATGCCGGAGAGACAAGAATGAGTGCTAATCTAAGGCTGCTTGAAAGGGAGGGTGACAGGGCTTAATGGAAGGAGAAGCACGAGCTTTGTTTTGGCTGCATCGTGCTGTCGTTTACTGGGGAACATCCATTTTGGAGAGGCTAGCCAAGATGTAAAGTTGGATGTCTGGAAAAAAGCCAACAAGAAAACAGGTTCATATGTCATCAGCCTGGGGATTGCATAGCAATCGTGGGAGTGAGGGAGATTGCTCAAAGATGGGTTAGAATGTTTTTGTTGGAAATAATTTGTGTGCTTTTATTACTCCTTGCCGCAGGCTGCCTCTTTTTGGTTTATCTGTAAGTGTTACAGAAACACCAAAGACTTAAAACTGTCTTGAGGTAGGTTGGGTGATGCTGATGTTGCTGTTAATTGCGATTAGCAGTTGAGCTGCTCACCCAATGCTGCAGAGCCACTGTTGGGGTTTGCACGTGTAGAGAGCACCCCCCCTACAACTACTGCAGAAATAAATAGGTAAGGCAGACAAAAGGTAAAAAGGAAAATGAGAGCTTAGAGGGGTATTTCTTTTCCCCGTTTTGTGGGGGGTGTATAGCAAATCAGTGTCTGATCTGGGATTAGAATGAAGGCTTTTCGTAGCTAGTCCAGTTCTCTAGCTACTAGATTATAGTTCCTCTGATGCTGTTAATTAAAGATTAATGTATGCAATTGACTCCGTCTTTAGTATTTCTTTATGTGGTAGCTATACTGGAACATGCTTGAACTGTTTCTCTTAATCATTCTTAGTCACAGAACAGATCTTAAAGAGCAAAAATGGAGACTAATTGAATTTAGTGGGCTATTAAATAACCACCTTCTGAATATTAACAAGAATTTCAGAAATATCTACTATAAACTGAGGCAACTCTTCATAAATGAGTGGCCTCTGTTTCATCCTTGGAAGTAGCTTCCAGCACTGCTTAAAAATACTTGTTTTAATGCAGCCATATACAGGAGGAAAATGGGGGAGCTAAAGTGACTCGAGCAGTTTTCAACTTTCCAGAGAGCAAGGTGTGAGGTGTCTTGGCTATGCCAAGTTTCTTTTAGCTGGCTTTATTAGAACAATTTAGTGGGCTTTAGTTATGAGAATATGGGTATGTTTTACTTGGGTAATTGAAGAATATCCTAAGCAGTGGTATATGCTGTTCTGTCCCCCCCACTGTAAAATATAGATAACCATTGATATTAATATTATTGTTAATGGCTAAGCCAGATGTCTAGCTTCACTAGATACCAACCATCTTTC